CCCTCCCCCCCCACTCAATTCCTTTTTAAAACTATTTCTTTTCCATCACTTCTCAGCTTTGGATTTTCTTTGCGCTTGCTCCACTGACCCAGCAAATCCCCCTCCAGTCCTTCCGTGGATCAACCTTAGAATCAATTCCATCGCCCTGGCACCATAACCTTCCCACGGGTTGGAACTTCCTCATGGTTGCCTGAGCTGTTAGGGCGTGAACTGCTCGCTGCTCATCATGTTCAAGGCCCTTATGGGCGGGGGCCGCTCCTCCTCAGATGCCCGCAGCAGTTCGAGTTCCAAGAGCAGTAGTCGCCGCCGTCGCACCGACTCGAAATCCTCTACAGTGAGCCGCAAATCTTCACGGGGTGACGACCGTGATCGTGGTTTGGGCGATCTATCGACCTATTCGTCTTCCGCAACTCGTAGCAGGCGGTATGCGCCCAGTGCGACAGCCGAATCGGTGGCTTCGAGCTATGCGACAGCAGAACAGGGCTTTCCCGGCGAACCCGACCGTATCGTGATCGAGCGAACCCCAAAACGGAGGGACTCCGATATTACGGAACCGCGCGAGCGCTCCCAGAACAATGGAGAAAGAGAAGACATATACTCTCGCAGGCGTGAGCGCGCAAGGTCACCCAGTCGCGAGCGTGAGCGCACGCGATTGGAACGGGATGAACGCAGGAGCGAGGTGCTTCCGAGTAGACGCGAATCCGAGCGTGCAGAGCGACGACGACGGACACAATCGGGCGAGAGTTACGCATCAGCGCTCGCTGGAGATATACCTGCATCGCGGTCCAGAACTGATTATGATATCTCCGGACTCCCTCCTCACGCTGCGCATTCTTATGACCCGGTCCCAGTCACCTCAATGCCGGGCCCCCCGAATGTACCGGCGTTCTACGATCCTCATGTGCAACAGCAATTCCCCGACCAGTTCCCTACTGACTTCGCGGAGCCATACAGGCCGCCAAACCCTGCCGGGGAGGCTGCTGATTATTATGGCGACCAAGGCCAGTCGGTTCATGATCAGCCCGGTGTCCGTCCAAAGCCTCAGATGGTGATTCCTAGTAGCCAAGCGCATCTAATGACTGCTTCTCCGGTCCCTAATCCACCACCCGAGCCCAGTAGTATGGGCCAGGTCGGCGCAGCCGCTTCGTACTATGACGACGATACTACTCCAGATGCTCAGCAGGGTCCAGCCCAAAGCACCTCAGCTCCAGTTCCCAAGCCACAGAAGCCACAGAAACCATCTGTTCACATGGCAGAGGACTCAATGCCAGTGGTCGCCCCGGCCGCTTCCGTGACTACTGTCGAAGACGTGGAGCCTCTTTACACCGAGTCTCCTTCGACCTACGCTCCACCGAATTCATCGATTGCACATGCTTCTTCCCCTCCGCATGGGGTGGGAGCAACAGTTGGCGCGTCGGCGGCGGCGGCGGCAGCAGCAGCAGTAGCAGCAGGAGCAGGGTACACGATGGGACACCACCCCCATGCGTCGAGCGTCCATTCCTCCCAATACACCATGCAAAACTATGAGGAGCTTTCCCAAGCTGGGCCGAGTCACGGTGGTCCTGCAGCATACCCCTCTCACCAGGAGGCAGCCATTCATGCGGCGGGTGTCGGGTACGCAGCAAGTCCACTCCATCCGCATCATGCTGCCGTTCATCATGGTGCCCCCTTCCAATCCGGAAGCTTGGCTTTTCAACAACGCCAGCGTGGCCCTTTGGACAAGATCATCGACTTTTGGCGCGATACGGAGGCAGTAGGCATGTTTGAGGACTATACGGAATCCATCGGTGTCTGCAAGTATTGTTTCGAGCCTGGCACAACATCCAGGGATGCACCTCGCAAGCACAACCACAATTCTCGGCGCAGCCCAGTCGATCGTTATAGCACTGGCTCTCGCGTCGAGAAAGCAAGTCGCTATACATCTTCCGACGAGGAAAGTAGACGGCGCAAAAGGTCGTCCGGAAGCTCATGGCTGCCCGGCTTGCTTGGAGGATATGCAGTCAAGTCGATCTTTAGCAACAGGGAATTTGACGAAAGTTATAGCATTCAATCAGGACGAGTAGCGAGCTCGCGACAATCGACTCATAGCAGTGAGGATGCATCAACAGCTGGCCGCCGAAGTCAGACGTCTCGTGGCGTGTACCGCAGATCCAATCGCAGCAGGTCGCCTGAGCGGACTGCCCGAAGCTCTTATTCGGATACGAAAACTAGTAAAACCGAGGCCAACCGGGTTCGCTCTCGTTCAAGGTCCAGATCCTCATCCCGGACCCAGCGACACGCTGCCTTGAGAGATGCAGCGCTGGGCGCTGCTCTTGGAGCGGCAGCCGTGTCCCAATCTGAGTCACGCATTGAAAACGGCAGCCGCGTTACTTCATACAACAAGAAGAAGTATCGAAAATCCTCCTCTGATGATGAATCTTTCGTGGACATTTCAAGACCAACCCGGAAGTCTATGAGTAGTGGTATCAGCTCCTTCTTCATGGCTTCCTCTGAAAACCGGCAGAAACAATGGACCAAGAAACGCAGGGGGCTATTCTCCTTCAACAACTCATCCTCCTCGTCCCTGGATGCCGATCTTGCTTTCGGCAGCGGCTTTACCAGGAAGCTCAAGAACAAGTCCCAAAGGCGGAGAAATATGAAGGAACGAGACGTGGACACAGCATTGCTTGAATTAGGCGCAGCAGCAACGGCACTGGCCGCCTCGTCTCAGAGGAGAAGTCGACGACGGGGTGAGATTCTTGCCGGCAAAAGCTATCGGTCCGGGCGGTCGGATTATGCATCGTCCGGCACTAACGAGGATGGATGGGAAGACTTGGACTCAGGCGAGCAATCTTCGTCAAGTGTCAACTCCGGCCTCGCCTTCGGCGGCAGCGAGCTCTTCTCGAGCAGTGACTCTCAGCAGTCCTCTGACTCACAGCCAAGCAAGTGGACTTGGGGCTGGGGAAGCAAGACAAAGACAAAGAAGAAGAACAAAAGGAAACCCAGTCAGTCCGAAAATAACTTCCCTGCTGGTGCTGCGGTGGCTGCCGGGCTGGGAACAGCTGCCCTTGCATCAAGTTATCACCGAGATACAAAATCCTCTAGTCACGATACCAATAGTGTCGCAAGTCTTCAGCAGGTGGCCCCGATGCCCATCAACGACTCTCCACACCATAGTAGTTTTGACCGATCGTCAATACCTCCGCATCAGCCACCCTTAGTTCGGCCAGGCCCCATTCCGCTACAACAGCCGCAGCCTGTTACGCCAGTCTCACAAGCAGTCTACACTAGTCAAGGGGTGTCCATACCCGCATACACTGCGCCCAGTGGACTGCCTATCTTTGAGGAATCTATTATGCCCCATGAGACAAGACTTTCCGGCAAGAGGAACGACGGCCGCTCCGACAGAATCCGAGAGTATGACACAACAAGCGAGATGGCGTCGAAGGCCAGTCGTTCACACCGACGTAGCGATTCTTCTCCCGTCTTTCACACGGAAGCTCTCGAGGGTGCTCCAGTGCCCGGCGTGCAGCGTCGCTATACAGCCAAAGAGCAAGCGTCAGTTCAATTTGATCTGACAGATGAACAGGCAGAGAAGGAGCGAAGCTCCACTAGACTGGAAGAAATGAGACGGGATGCCGAGAATCAGGTTGGAGTACAACTTGTTGACCATGAGCAGGAGGTAGCGGCCCGGGAGGCTGAGCATCGAGCAAGCCGTCAAAGAAAACTGGATCAAGACAGACGGCGAAGTGATGATGAGCGCTCACATCACGACCGAGGCTCATCGTCGTGGGTCGGTGCAGCGGCAACAGGCACTGTGGGTGCTGCTGTCGCGGCTACAGTGCTGTCCGGCCGGGGATCTTATGATGAAGCATCGGAAGCTGCTAGCCAGCGGCGCCACGAGGAACGACGAGAAAAGCGCAGGGCTGAAAGACGTCGGAATTCGGACTCGGGCTCGGTAGCATCAAGCCTGCCGATGTCCGAAGCGTCCAAGGATCCGTTGGAGGAAAGCCCGTCCGCAGACCGTCGACAAGAAAGTGTCAAGACCCATGCATTCAGGGACCTTTCTCGCAAAAAGCCGGTCTACGATAACTATGCACAATTTTTCGCACCAGAGGAGCTTCGTTATAGCCCTGATACTTACAAGCGTCGGGAGCCCACCTCGATGCCAACTATCATCGAAGCAGACCTCTCAATGGATTCCTTGCGTCTGGCCGAAGAGCCCCATCCTGAGTACGCTGGCCTTCCGTGGCCTGTGCCAGCATTGAAACTCATCGAACCGACGCCGCCTCACAGTGCCAGTGGTTCCGTCAAAGGTGCTTCGTCGCCTATAACATTGGTCCCTGTGCACCCTCAAGAGAGCGATCAACCGGAACGCCAGACAACTGGCTCACGTGTATCGTGGGGCAAGCATGAGACGCATGAGTACGAGGTACCCTCAACCTCTTCTGAACTTGAATCGGTCGAGGACTTCCCTGGGGAGCTGGAAAGAGATCGACGGGGTGACCAGCGCTTAGCGCAAGACGTTCACGACATTCCCCCAGATTTTCAGGAGATTCCTCGTTCCAGCAGCACAACCCAGCTAGAAAATGCTGACATAGAGTTCGCAGCTGCCGTAGCTGCAGCAACGGCCGCCGCCGGCTTCGACCCTTCAATTGTCACAGACGACCCGAGTTACCATGCGCCGACATCAGCGGCCCCTGAAGCAAACATCACCTTTGTCTCACCTTGGCAAGAAGCTGGCCAGCGTCGCGCACAGCCACACGGCTTTGTCGAAGGAGAAGTTGAGACTCCGGACGAGAATGGACACGACAAACCAGTCGGAGAGTACTCCGGTGGTAACCGTTCTGTCAGCCCGGACCACGAACCTGGTGCGGTCCTGGACAAGAATAGTCCCCCACGAGTCTCAATTGCCCAGGGAGTCATTGAGCAAATTAGCCAGAGGAAGGAACCGAAAGCGAGTGGTGGGCAAATGAGCAGCAGTAAGCCCACTGTAATCCTTCGCGGTCCCCGTGATGAAATTGTAGCGCCTGTTGAAGTTCTTTCTATGCCTGGTGGATTCCACATGGGAGAACTATCGGGCCAATCGAAGCCATCCAGTGACTGGGAGACCGTAAACAAGGATAATTCAAGGTCCGTGGTCTCAGCGCCAATTCTCCAAAACATCGATGTGGCTAGAAGCCAGAATTTTGAAGAACAGAGTGATAGTGATTCAGGGCCTAGCGAAGATGATGGGTCATCAATAGCGGAAGCTGACACTGTGGGAAGGAGGAAAAGACGGCGCAAGAGACGTTCCAAGCGCGATAGTGACAACTTTGAGGACACCACATCAGCTGCTTCTTCCCTTTCTAGACTCAGGGAGACTGGAGAGAAGACCCGAAAGACGGATGAGAAAGACAGAGAAAAACGGTCTGGAGGATTTCTGAGCAATCTCTTTGGCTCGAGAGTCTCAGAACCCTTAGCTAGCAGAACCTCCTCTGCCGATAGGCGTTCCTCTCGAGAAGTTCACTCAGAGATCGGCTCTCGGCGTAGAGACAAGTCTTCTCGGCGGCGGAGCTCTAGCCGAGCTGAATCGCTTGATAATGATTCGAGGATTCGAAAGAGCAGTGGCCCGCATGATGAGAGCTTGACGGGGCCGGATAAAGAGAATATCGACCTTGAAGGTTCTAAATCTAGCAGGCAGCGAAGGGAGGAGCGACGGCGGCAAAGATACGAAGATGCTCGGGACTCTGGAAGGTCGAAAGGGTACGAGAAGGTATAGTACTTAGTATCTTTTTCTTCCCCTTTTGTTCTCTCTGGTTCTTTTTTTTTTTTTTTTTTTTCTTTGAATGACCTTGAATGACCTGTAAACTTGGCTTTGCCTTGAATATTCCCATATGTTGGTTTCCGAATGCTATAATGATGCACATACTAAGAAATTTCCTCTCGTCTTTGTCCACGTACAGGAACCAAGCTTCTCACAGGAAGCCGATGAGCCACGGTCTTTTTTAGTGACCGGCCCCGAATTACCAAGCCAGACAGACGAGGCTGATTCGAGTCACGGGGCCTCGGGGTTTGAGGACTCTGCCATAACAGGCTTGGGGCTTAACGTCTTGGGTCAGCGACTTCGAAGTCGATCCGCGTCTCCGCCTGCTTCAGAGAAGACCGTTGAGCCTGCTCCCGTGTCACTGAGTAGACCCACTTCCCCTGAGTTGAAGAAGGCCCAAGAAGCTCAGGATGAGGAAGCAGCATCACGGTCTCGACGGTCATCTGTACTGCGGGGGGTCGATTCGCCTACGGCAGTTCCTCTGCATTTCCGCCGGCCTCCTACATCCCCTCGAACAACCCGATCACCTTCACTCTCATCCCCAACGCCTTCCCCAAGCTCTCCGACCCAGGGACGTCACCGCCGGCCAGCATCAACAGAATTTAAAAGCTCTCGAGAGATAAGGCCCCTCTGGCTTGTGGAGCGGCATAGCACCAGCAAGGCTGAGTCCCAGCTCGACGAGCCTCTGCCCTCGTTGCCATCTAGCAAGACTACTTCAGCGAACGCGTCAGCTGAAGACCTAACAGCTCTCCCCGAGGAGAAGAATTGGGAGTTGGTCGATCTGAGTCAATACATTCATGGACCTCCACAACCTACGGATCTTGACTTGTCTAGTACCAGGGAAACATCTGGGATTGATCAGCATCACGAACTCCTTGATTCTCAGCAGGGGACTCCCACCGCAAATACCTTCAGCCACGTCTATCATTATCCTCAATCGAAGAAAGGGGGGTTGAGTTACGAGTTTCATTCTCCCTCCGAGCTCCTTCAAGACGTAGACTCGTATCCTGATCTTCCCTCATCCCCTACGCTGAACGGGTTACCGTCAGCCGAAGGTTCCGCACTCGGTCTAAAGGATAACCACGGCAGGGAAGCTGTGCAGGAGGGCATGGACGATATCTCTGAAAAACGGCCTTCCACCCCAGAGGACAAGCTTCTCCAAGCCTCAGAGACAAATGAGACAACGCCGACTCAAGTGAAGACCTCTTCCCCGACGCCAGCGCACGCAACTGGTCATAGACCGGATTGCGCCGGGGTCTTTGTAGCGGCTGCTGCCGCTCTTTCCAACACAGAAGATTCTGCTGGGTTGGATTCATATGTGACGGAAGGCCAACCGGCGTCAGAGACTCATGGAAAACAAGTCGGCAATGATTCCGCCATCCAAGCGGCTCAGAAAGAGGATCGCCTAGACGTTCTTGGGAAGAGCAGCCCAAGCCCATCTAACATTGAGGAGAGCCATCTAGTCTCAACTTCTCAGCAGAACCTGCCCAAGGAATTCATAGACTGTACCGATCCAGCGGTCGAGTCTTCCATGGATAAGTCAGTCGCCGCCCAAGAAGAGAGGAAGCCCGAATCAGGTGATTTTCTCAAGAATGATGTGGAGCAGACGAGAGATTCGGGAACTCCGACTGTCGAGACACAGTCCGTAAAATGCGAAGTTGGAACGGACGGCTTCAATCCAGCAACAAGCGGCGAACCTGACACCGCTCGTCATCTTTCCATGGGCGATGAACAGTCACGCGAAGATGTGTTCAACTCCGACCTCCCATCAAAGGCAGATGAAGCCGATACGCAGGAGCCCGAGCCAGGAAGTCCGGCTACGATCATCGCAGAGCGGACATGGGAAGACAAGATGCACGACAAACCTTCGGAGCCACACATCGAAGGGGCCAGTATCCAGGAAATTGCAAAATCAGTTATCTTTATGCCATCTGAGACCCAAGAGCCGTTCCCAAGTACAAATGACTCCGAGAATGAACCCAACCAAGCAACAGAGGCAATACAGTGGAAGGGAAAAGGGACTGAAGTGCCAGTCGAGGATCATTCATCATTGGAGCGGCTGCCCAAGAGCATTGATGACAAAAAGGACAGCAAGATAGCCCATGAAGAAGTTGTTGCTAGCGGCTCTCATCCTACGATTGAAACGCAGGACATGCCTGTCAATGAAACCGCTGAAAGCCAATTGCAAGACCCAATGATTGGAGATTCCGCATCGAAGCTATCGAAGAAGAAGAGCCAAAAGAAGAAGAAACGAGGCACAAGCATTGATTTGGTTGCTCCAGAGCTCCCATCACCTCTCGAGGAGCCCGCTCAGTCGCTCGTACAGCAACCGAAGTTGGGGGCCTCAAACCCCACCGAGCCTGAGAATGCACAAGACGCCCTGTCGCAAGAAGTACCCTCAGTTGAGCACGTCAACTTCGAGCAGCAACGGACTGCGACTGTAGAAGAGCCAGCGGGATCGGCTTTGGAAGTAGGATTGCCATCGACCCAGCAGATAACCATTGTCGAACAAAACCCAGCTGAAGCTGGTGACTTTGAGCCGGCGGGGGGTCGAGTATCAGTCATGGAAGAGGTTCGCCTCTCGGACGGTGATCGGTCCGGCAAGAGCCTCGAACAGAGAGGATTGACTGAGACTGTCGGGCAAGACCGTCCGGCGAAACCTGAATCGTTGTCCCCCACCGACGTCGAAGAGACAGCGCCAGACACCGTGCCCTCCAGCGGTAAGAAGGCCAAGCGCGATAAGAAGAAAAAGAGAAAGAGCAAGGGCTTAAATTCTATCACGAACGATGAAGGATCAGCACCTAATGAGACCGCTGAACCTGTCACTGAACCTGTCACTGAACCTGTTGCTGAGCCTGTCGCGGAGCTTGTTGCGGAGCCTGTTGCTGAGCCTGATGCTGGGCCTGTTGCTGAGCCCGTTGCTGAACCTGTCACTGAACCTGTTGCTGAGCCTGTCGCGGAGCCTGTCGCGGAGCCTGTCGCGGAGCCTGTTGCTGAGCCTGTTGCTGAACCTGTCACTGAACCTGTCGCGGAGCCTGTCGCGGAGCCTGTCGCGGAGCCTGTCACCGAACCTGTTGCTGAGCCTGTTGCTGAGCCTGTTGTGGAGCCTGTTGCGGAGCCTGTTGCGGAGCCTGTTGCTGAGCCTGATGCTGGGCCTGTTGCTGAGCCCGTTGCTGAACCTGTCACTGAACCTGTCACTGAACCTGTCGCGGAGCCTGTCGCGGAGCCTGTCGCGGAGCCTGTCGCGGAGCCTGTCGCGGAGCCTGTCGCGGAGCATGTCACTGATCCTGTCACTGATCCTGTCGCTAAGCCTGTCACTGAGCCCGTTGCGGAGCCTATTGCGAAGCCTGTCGCGGAGCCTGTTGCTGAGCCCGTTGGTGAGTCTATGAAGGGGGATGATGTCGAGAATTTCGAAGCCAGCAAGCAAAGCCCTGAAATTGGCTCTACACAAGAGCTTGATAAAACCTCCATGGGCGAGCATTCACTTGCCAATTCTGACCCTGCGAATCGAAGTATTGAAGCTGTACCAGAGGAACTTGTTCCTTCCAGTGTGGAATCTCCTGAAACAGCTTCAGAAAAGACCAAACTTGCGCAATTGGACCCAAATGTCGCGGAAGAAACGTGTCAGAAATCTGGTGACGGACATGCACCTATTAATCTTGAGGCGACTTTGAGCGGGACAGAGCTCGAAGAGCCCACCGCCATTACTGGCGTGTCGACACCGAATGAGCCCCTAGCCCCTGCAACAGAGTCTGGAGATTGCAAAGCATCTCAATCTTTTGGCGAGCCGCTCGATCTCAGTTCAGAGCCTGTCTCCATGAAGACCGATAGCAACCAAGAAGATGTCTTTGAAGGCGCCGAGACGTTCAAAAGATCCGAAGTCGTACCTGCAGAAGTTGATGGTCTGCGCTCCGCTTTAGATAGTAAGGTCGGCGGGACGGAGTCATCAGCGGCCTTGGTAGAGGATCAGACAAACAAGGACCCGACGGAGCTAGAATCAGCTGAGGCGGAGCAGCACAAGAATGAGAGCTCTGATCGCACTGCTCAAGAGGAGCAGGCTGCCGACGAGAAACATTCAAGTGCCCCTGTAACCGAGCCTCTTAGCGAATACGCCTTCGTCACAGTGGAACAAATTGACACAGCTAAAGCACCAGAGACAATTGAAGCACAGGATGTCAGCACGGAGGCTGAGCCTTCCCTTTCTCGCAAAAGCAGTAAAAAGAAGAAGAAGAACAAGCGCAAGAGTGTGATTGAGACAACAACAGAAGCATCCAGTGCTGATGATCTCCGATCAGAACCCGCTGTCCATGAATCCGTTCTGAAGGCTGAGGATGAATCAAACACCGAAGCTAGGCCTGCGGATATCATAGAGCCGGACGCGACCGGCGCAGAACCATCAAAACCAGAGTCATTGAAACAAGGCCACATTGAAAATGAGAAGCTGGAGCCTGGTGAGGATCAAAAGCACCAGGGAAACGTCCCAAAAGCTGAGAGTGATAATCCAGATGGGCGAGAAACAGATGACACGAGCAGATCGAAGATGGACACCAATACCGACGTGACCGAGGAAGATCAACCAAAGAAGGGGGAGGGGAAGAAGAAGAATGGCAAGTTAAATGCTATGACCGATCCTGAGCACGAACCCAAGCTTGAGCCTGAGTCCGTGGCCGAAATTAATCGCGAACAACTCGTAGATGCGGGCGTTGTCGCTCCTGAACCCCCGCGCCAAACAAGCGGTGAAGTTTCATTCGACGAAAGCCAAGATCTGCAGTCACAAGAATTGAATAACTCCCCTGATAGAGTGACAGCGGACGCCAACGTTCCAGGCACAGAGCTTGAGCCCACTAGTCTTCTGGTGGAGCATGCTGACGCCAATGATGACACAACACATGTGCCTGCGCCAGAACAACCTATAGTCGCCGAGTCTTTACCTGAAACCGAGCCTGACGCAGGAGAGGCTACACCGACTGGCAAGAAGAATAAGAAGAACAAAAAGAAGAAGAATAAGAGCCTGTCAATCGTGCCTACTGAAGATGTTGCTGTCGAGCCTTCTTCAGCGGGCTTGGATGGGGCCTCAGCGGATGCGAACACTCCTGCATCTATGGAAGTCTTCGCTGCAACTCAAGAGGTTCTCCCTGCATCAATGGAGAGGACCCCTGCTTCTAACGAAGAGGCTTCTGCGTTCACCGAAGAGTATCCAACTCTAACGGAGGTTGCCGCCGCAACTACAGATGTCGCGTCAGTACCTACTCAAGATGCTCATGCACATGATGAACTGCGAGCAGTTATCGAGGACGCCCAGACTCGTACGGAGCCGGAGCTTGCTCCTTCAAGTCAAGATAGAAAGCAAGAATCTATGCCTGTGAGCGAGGGAGTGAACACTACGAACGAGCTTTTAGAAGTCCATCCGTCCGAGGAGCCTCAGATGACCTCCGCACAAAAGAAGAAAGCCAAGAAAGAGAAGAAGAAGCTGCAGAAGCAAAGGGCCAAGTCTGTGGATGACATCTCACTTTCTGAGTCTGCAACACCAGTTTCCTCCGAGCGCACTCTGGAGACTGAGTTGGCAACTACCGAAGGATCTTCAGCACCTTTAGAATCTGCAGAGGTGGTTACCTCTGCAGCTAAGAACAATAAGGAAGAAGAGCCCGTCCTGGGAAACGTCCAAGATACCACCAGGGACGGGGTAGCAGCCGCAGCCATAGAGGAAGCCACGGCGGCCGACGAATCTGGAACAGTACCGGAGGACAAAGCGAGCGGTAATGTGTTGAGCAAGGATAAGTTTTCCGAATTACAGGCAGCTTCGGAACCAGCCGACAAGTTAGCACCGGATGAAGTTGACTTAAAGTCCTTGGTGGAGGAATCGTCAAGCCCTGATACACAACGGCTGCAGGAGCAGGAAAAGTCTTATGCTGACAGTCGGGATGTGAGGATTGAGGACGAGACAACAACAGTTGTTCAGGATACTTCAAAGCCGAGTACGGAGGAATTCGAGGTTCTCAATGATACACCAAGGGACCTAGAACAACAAATCCCTGACACTGGAGAACAACCGCAAGAGCAGCCCGAAACCGTCGTCTCTCCTGAACCTGGTCCGGCACCCTACCATGAGGAGGCTAAAGTTGAGCTTGCTAAAGACCAGGAGGAGCACGGTGGAGAAGTGGAAGGCATAATAGAGGCTAATACACAAGCCAGTACACCGGTTCATAGCATTTCCATGGATGAGGACACGGCTCGAGATGCTCATTCCAGCTTGGCTGGCACCGAGTCCGCTGACAACGACGAGCACCGCGGCGGTGAAGCTGTAGCTAGCCTGCATGAAGAACCCATCGACGATGAGTCTCAACCTTCGACTTCAATTAAATCGAAGAAGGACAAGAAAAAGAAGAAAAAGAAAAATAAGTCCTTATCATTTGATGAATCACCGGTCGCAGTTCCCGCAGAAGAAGCACGGGAGCTGGGTGAAGGGTCTTCTGCTGCAGATGTCAACATTATTCCGATTGCTGACGATGCAGACGTCAGCGCAGCTGGTGACATTACTTCTGACCAAGCGACGGACGAAAATCAGCATTCTGAGCATGTACTCGCAGAAGAGGTCGTTCAGCATTCTGAGGACCACCTCAAATCTCCATCACTGGAGAAATCTTCGGTAGTCCCTTCGGACAAGGTTGCGTCGGAGCCCACAGACACCGAAAGCCAAGCTTTGGAGCCTACACCAGACCCACAGACAACGAAATCCAAGAAGAAGGCTAAGAAGGACAAGAAGAAGCGCAAGTCTGTATCCTTCGCAGAGGAACAGTCTACCGACTTGAGCGAGCCCGCTACGGAGGAGAGAGTACATCAGGAAACCCTGCAGAACGCCGGAAATAATGTTCTAGCCGAGCAGAACCAGGCGACCGAACCGGCTCTTTCCGATGAAGAGATTCAAGGGCTGGTTGGTGAAACTGCTGTGTTGGAAAGTGAACTAGATGCTGTCGAGGAGGCTACCTCAGAAATGGATGGCCCAGGCGCCAAATCAGCAACTATTCTGCCTGCGCAGGAGATGGAGGAAGAGACAATAGCTCGGGAAGTGGACTCAAAGCCTCAGGCGGCAGATGAAGTCATTCAATCCACTCAACCCACTGAAGAGCCACAAGACGTGGAGTTAAGCTCTACTGCTCCAAGCAGCGCCCAAAGAGCGGAGGAAGAGCTAGAGAACACGGATCCCGCTCTTGACATCACAAGCCTACTAAGTACTGCCATGGCCACGAGTTCAGTGACGAATGATACGTTCGGACCTCTTCCTATTGACGAATCCGAGCCCCAGACTCCCATACCGAGTCCTGAGCCGGACGTCGGTTCCTCCAAGTCCAAGAAGGACAAAAAGAAGAAGAAACGGCGCAAAACATTGGACTCTGCTGCAGATACAATCACATCAGCGCCGGACTCTGAAGTTGACATCTCTACAACAGAACTAGCAACTCTTGCTGAACCAGAGTTCTCAAATGAGCCGGGTGTAGCGCTGGTTTCTCAGACTCCTGGGACCGAGAGTCCTGAGGATACAGTACAGCAAGCCGAGGAGGCCGAGGAAGAAGCTATTCCAATGTCAGCTAAGGCGAGGAAGAAGGCAAAGAAGGAGAAAAGGCGCTTGTCAAAACTTCAAGATGCGACCGACGCTGCAATCGACTCCGCTGCTGAGAATAGACCCGAACCCTCGTCTGAAGTCGCAGATATTCAGGCCGAAATACCTCAAGACCGAAATGATGCTCAGTTGCCTACCGAGACCGAGTCCACGGAACCATCGCAGGAGGCGGCAATCAAACCTGCGGAAGATGACGGTAAAGAAATTCAGTCCCACGGCACCGAACTGCACGCCACAAACGATGAAGATCTGACTTGGACTGATGAAATGGTTCCGCAGGTAGAGCAACAGCCAGCAGCTTCGCCCGCTTGTCCTTCCCAACCCGAGCCTGAGAACCCCGATATCGCAGCATTGCCAGCCATTGCAGCCTCCATTGAAGCATGTGGAGACGGTAAATCGATCCGGGAGTTGTCGGGAGAGATTGATTCGTCCGCAGGACTAGAGTCGGCGCCATTGGAGGACGCAAAGGAGGAGGAATTGCCCACGCCACGCTCTGAATTCCCGGACAAGGGAGTCAAAGACGAGCCAGTATTAGCGCCAGCAGAGGAAGAAGCTGGCGAGCAACATGCTACGAAGGCAGCGGATGATATGTCAGCTCAGGGGAAGGTAGAGCACACAGGCATTGCATCGGGCAACAAGGGTGACTCCGAGAGCAATGAACAAAAAGAGTCCCGAGAACTAGCTGTGTCTGCTGAGATGGTTGCGAGTTTAGCCAAGGGCGAGGAGCCAGTCACGCAGCCCCAGGATACGACTCAAGAGGTCGATTCTAGCAAGGACAACTCTGCCCTTGATCAAAATCGCGCCATGGATCAAACCCGACGCAAGAAGTCCAAGAAAGACAAGAAGAAAGACCGCCGAGCAAAATCAGCCGCCAGTGAGCAGCAACAACAGGAGCAAGAACTAGGTGCTAAGAGAGACTCTGAGGAAGCAGAACTCGGCTCACCATCAACTCCCCCTGATCAACCAAGCGATGAGGTCAAGCTTGGACAAGATTTTCTGGGAGAGACCGACCCTGTCACGAACGGAAGAGCGGAAGCGGAAGCGGGCATCGCCAATACTCAAACCGGTACCCTTGGTTACAGAGAGATCGTCGAGGTTGGCAATGATATGCCCCCTACGGACCCTGGTGAGGTCAATATTACATCTGCTGAGCAGATATCGAGCCTTGCATCTTTTGTGAGAAACCAGGAACATGAGATTTCTGAAGGAGATGATGTGGCGCCGGTTGAAGACCGGAAGGATAGTGTCTTGGAGCATAGTGCGTCTGCGGATATCGGGGCAAGACATTCAGAATCAGAAGCTATCCGCAGGATTATTGCTCCTGATGCCATGTCTTCTGCGTTTGTGCCCGAAGGTGTTGCTGCTCAGGACTTAGCCTTTATCGATTCTCAAGAGGGAATTGTTCCTGAGGAGGAGATTCCGAAAGCACTTCCTTTGGAGGCTGCGCCTGAAGCTATTGCTGAGGAAGAACTTACTATCAATGAGAAAGCCGTTCCTGAGGTTGTTCCTGAAGAGGTTTTTTTAGAAGAAATTGCCATTCAGGACAAAGTCGTTACTGAGGCCGATCTTGCGAACAAGCCTGTCGCTGAAGACGTGTCTGGAGGTGTTTCTGAAGGACCAAGGGCTGAAGCGTCACAGGTGGTGGGGTTCGATTCCTTCTATCCAGAAGCACCAGTGACAGGAACTGCGGAGGCGATAACTGGCTTTGAAGATTTGGTCCTAGAAGATGTGAAACAGGAGGCTCCGTCCGCAGAGACCATGGAGCGAGAGGTCTCAACTTCAGCTGCTGCAAATGAGGGATCTCCGGAGGCAAGTGTTGTACCTTCAGAGCCTGTTACTCGAAAGACCTCGGCTCCAGTTTTGACGGCCGCATCCGATGCAAGCGAAACTTCAAAGGCAATTGATGAGTCTGCTTCCAAGAAGAAGAAAAAAGATCAGACGAAGAAAAAAGGATCGCTGTTCGACGGAGAGCAGACTGAGCTTCTAGAGCATCAGAAGCCAGAAGAACCGAGAGTTGAGGATGATCAGGAGCCTATTGAAATGAGCAAGCCAACAGAGACATCCGAAGCAGTAGATGGAGGACTTGTGGATCTCAAAGGGGTTCCAGAAATGAAGGCCGGATCGAGCGGTGAACAGGGAGCTTCAGGCTCGCAAGATGAGACTAAGACGCCGGGTTCTGCTGCAGCCGAGGCAAGCAGCGATCATGAAGGTGAGCATGAGCAAAAGCCAGGGCCAGGTGACTCTCAGGCACAAGAACCATCGATGGCACAGGGCGTGAAGGATCCGGAGTCCACGCACGAAATCCCAGTTACGGCGGAGGACTCTACTTCTACGGAGGTCAAAGCAGAAGCTCCCACTGAGGTTACCTCCGAAGAGGCACTCGTTGAAAAGCCATTGAGTCGCAAAGAATCGAAGAAGAGGAAGAAGAAGGCAAAGAAAGCAGCTAAGGGAGGCCAAGACGAAACAATGGAGTCATCGGTTGCGCAAGAAGTGACCTTTCAAGAAGCAGCCGTAGAACAAGCGGTGCCGCTCGAGAAAGCGGTAGAGAACGTCTCCGAGAACGTCCCGCCGCAAGAGACTAGTCGCCATGCTGTACAGGAAGAGATCGGGGCTCAAAAGGAAGGTATAGAGTCTCTTGCAGCACGTACAGAGCATGAGGCCGAGCCATCGCCATCAGATCCTACATATGCCGATAGGCTCGTGAAACGCGATAGTCTGCAGCCTGAGGATCTAGAAGCTCATTCTACATTGGACTCGAGAATTCCAGACATGAAGGATGATGCAGATGTGAGCGAGGGTGTGGCAGAGGTCCTTTCAGAAGACTCACATCCTACACTACCCTTGGCACGAAAATTCTCTAAGAAGGAGAAAAGAAGGGCCAAACAAATTGCCGCAAAGGGGGCTGCTCAACCTGCACAGCCAGTGCAACAAGTCCAGGAAGGATCTGAGATCGTCCAAGCAGAAGTATCTCTTGTATTGCCAGCCACCAGCGCCGTGACCGTCGACAGGGCACCCATCAACCCCTCCGAAGGTAAGCCTCAGGAAACAGACCCTATGTTCGAGCAGCCCGCAGAGGATGACAATGGCTGGCCTTTGATAGACTGGGGCAAGGCTCAGATTGAAACTACAGAGCGAACCCCAGATTCGTCGCCCGAAGCTCGTGCCATACCTTTCGAACCTGGAATAGCCGAGTTCGACGAGTCCGCCATCCCCGAAGGCGTGATCAGACGACCAAGTTTGCGAGGCAGAAATAGCAAAGCGCGCGACTTCAGCCTGTCACCGAGACAAGAGCGTCAAGAAGGGCGCTTTCAGCATGACAACGCGCCTCTAGCAACAGGCTCGACTAATACGCACAACAATCCGGTTACAACAAGCCAGCTGGAGGATGTGGTTCATGAAGGAGATGAGGCGCATTACAATCAATCCGCGACCGAGTCTAGCAAACCAAGTCTGGTGGCAAGCATCTTTCCCGAGCTAGAGCGAGGCTTTTTCCGTCGGCCAGCTTCAACTCAAGACCTCGGGTCAGCAAAAGATGGGGCTGAGGAAGAGACCATTGGCAAGGAAGCGATTCGCAACAGCGACAAGGTCTTGGAAGCTCCTATCGCGACCAAAGAAAACCCAGACATTGAGGATTTTACGCTTGGGAGGACGCTTGATGACAATGTGACTACGATACAGCAGCAGAAGGTATTATGGGATGAACCGGAAGGCGCTGTAATTGATGTCGAGGTTGACCCTGCATACAATGTCTCCGTGCTTTCAGACGGGCCTCATGAAGAATCTCGGTCGGTTGAGATTCAATGGGAAAAGACCAAGGATCAGGATGCTACAGCAGAGGGTGAATCGCCCATCCAGCATGAGACGCCTTTGTATGCACCCTCACCGTTGCAGGAACGCGCATCAGTGCTGGTTCGATCCTCGCGGGCAGATTCTACGTGTGGGCTCCGACGTAGCCCCTCGATCCATGGACGCCATGGACAGAGCGCCTCCCCACGTCGACGACCATGGTCTATACATGAGCAGCCAAGTGCATCACCGCCAGGGGCGGGTCGGAGTTCGGTCTCGCCCCCACGGACGCCACTGCACACCATCGAGGAATATGAACTGGGAGATCGATCGAAAAGACCCACCAGCCCCGGTCGCGGGACGCCCCGTCTGGAGATGAAACCAGAGCATGTGCTTTCACCACCTCCTCCCAATCCTACAACTCCTCCGCCAAGCAGGAAATTTACCGACAACGCTTTAGCTCGCCAGGGCTGGCCAACATCAAACAGGAGCGATAACGATGATGTGGTGGAAGTTCAAAAACGTCGACCAGAAAAGAGTCAGCGGACAAAAGAGCAGGAGCAGCAGCAGCAGCAGCAGCAGCAGCAGCAGCAGCAGCAGCAGCAGCAGCAAAGGGGGGAAGCGATGAAGACGCCTGAGCACAAAATGCCGATCCTGCGACCAACCAGCGGCAGTGGACGATCGTTGAGACGAACGCCTCGCAGTGTGAGCGGCAGTGATTTGCGGGCGGTCAGTCAAGCCCAGCCTCCTCTTCCTCCCGTTCCTCCCGCTGTTTCTGGCTCTGGCTCTGGCTCTGGCTCCGCTTCCGCTTCCGACTTGAACTTGGAGCGCATTGCTTCTTCCTCTTCTTATGATCCCGTCACCGACAAGGGCAAACGGCCCCTTCGGAACATGACTGATGTTTACGTGAGTAAATTTGATATTTAATCGAATCAATCAATCAATCAATCGAGATTTAGGGAGGCAAAGACTAATAACCGTGCCTATTCCAGGAGGGGTGGGGAGAAACACCCAGCTCGCCTCGGTCGCCGAGTCGACCGCCCAGCATCCGCCATCGTCGCAGCATGCAACACCTCCAAGAACTCGAATCCCGGCTTGATTCTCTGATCTCTGAAAATCGCCTACTGCTTGCCGCCCGCGAGGCTGCTGAAGATAAATTGCGTAATGCTAGCGTGGCTCGCCGCAAGAGCGACCATGCTCTCAACAAAACCGATGCTGACCTGCGCGACCGGTCAGCCGAAGTCGAACAACTCAAGAACTCGGTCGAGTGGCTGCAGAAAGAAGTCTCCCGACTGACTGGAGAGAATGAAGGCTTACTGGTCACCAACTCGGGTCTAGTGGCGACCCATGCACAAGAGATCCAGGCTATGCAGAGCACCTACGATCGCAGAATCGAAGAATTGCATACCGCGAACCAGCAGCTTTCGACAGAGATGCAGACCAGAATCTCTCAAGAAATCGACGCCGCCGTTGCACAAAAGGACACAGAGCTGCGGCGACTACGGGAGGAATTAGAGAAGACCCGCAACCGGGTCAAGCAACTCCAGCAGCAGATCGCGGAGAATATGCGAGACGAGGTTCTCATCTTCCGCGACGAGGATTACTTCGATGCTGCTTGCCAGAAACTATGTGGACATGTGCAGCAGTGGGTCCTCCGCTTCTCTAAGCATTCTGATCACCGTCGCTGCCGCAAATTGAGCGACCTGCAAGACGAGAAGATTGCCGACCGGTTCGAAAATGCCATTCTGGATGGCTCCGAGGTCGACCTCTACCTTGCCGACCGTGTCCGACGCCGCGATGTGTTCATGTCGGTGGTTATGACCATGGTGTGGGAATACATCTTTACACGATATCTGTTCGGCATGGATCGCGATCAGCGCCAGAAGCTCAAATCGCTCGAAAAGCAGCTATCCGAGGTGGGGGCGCGAAGTGCAGTGCATCGTTGGCGTGCCACTACCCTGACCCTGCTGTCCCGACGACCAATCTTTTCGAAGCAGCGGGAAACCGACACCGAAGCGGTCACTCTCGAGATCTTCGATACGCTCTCACGTCTTCTTCCACCGCCTAGTAATGTTGAGGCCCAGCTTCTGGATTCCCTGCGGAAAGTTCTGCGAGTTGCGGTGCATTTGTCGATTGAAATGCGGACCCAGTTGGCGGAGTACATTATGTTACCGCCGCTGCAACCAGAATACGATACCAATGGCGATCTCGCCCGCCAGGTCTTTTTCAATGCGTCGCTGATGAATGAGCGCAGTGGCGAGACTACGTCGAACGAGGAGCTGGAGTCTCAGCAAGCCGTGGTTCGTATCGTTCTGTTTCCCTTGGTGGTGAAGAAAGGCAATGATGCAGGAGATGGGGACGACGAAATGGTCGTCTGCCCGGCGCAAGTGCTCATTGCACGACCAAACAAGGATAAGAGAGTGTCCAAGATGCTTAGTGGCGACCGCATGTCGCTCGATGCCACCCGATCGGTGCACAGCGCGGCTCCCTCGTCCACCATGGACTTGAGCAACGTAATTTGAGGCGTCACCCTCAAATCGCGACTGGATAACGCTCAGACTGGTGGAAGGGCAACACAGCACATGGACTGGTCCGATCTCTGGACCTTTCATTTATCCTCTCCCTTTTTCTCTTTCTCGCTTCCTACAATAATTTCCTTTTTCAGTGCAGCTACTCTGCAGGCGTCTTGGCTTGAATTCGGGTCTTCAAATGGTAATGAATAATGCTAGATGCAGAGGAACTGTTTCGTTTCTCAGCATCTTCAAAACTGATGATGTTCATGATGATGTCCGATACCTTTTTTGTCTCTTAGAGTTGACGATCTTACGGCCATTTATTTATCTGGTGGTTGAATTGTGTTTTGTTGGTGTTCTGTTATTGTATATTTATGGATGTATTTAATGTATGTACAGGACAGTGACAATGTGATGTCATTGATTGAACCTCTTCCTTCTCCTCCTTCGTTTTCTGCCAAGGCGGTGATGCCGATCCTATGGCCGTCATCCACTCTTCCTCTCCCTCCCTTATCGTTTCAACTCTTCGATTCAATCTGCATCTCCACCCCCTCCTCTCTCTCTCTCTCTCTCTCTCTCTCTGTGTCTTTTCTCTCTATTGGAAGTGCTTCTCTATCTATCCCTAGAGTCCAGTCTGTTCTTGCGCTGAATCGAGCATACTCTCGTTTCCCTCATTTTCCCCCCCCTACTCCCATGTTCCACCCAATTCTGCCTCTCGCCTGCCACTTCCTCTCCCATCGTCGCCCCGGGCCCTGATGAAGTGTCTCCTCGGCTTGTGCTATGCTGAGCTCGACAAGGCGTCCAGCTCCTGCATGAACATTCAACCTTGCATTCTTACTGAATTCCCCTCACGTTCGTCTTAGTCTTGGGTTTTACTCATATCTGGTGTGGGTGGAATTACTTGTATTGTTGTTTATGACGACTATTATTACCATTATTACTTGGCTCTGCGCAATAGATTCGGTGCGCTGGTTTAGATTACTCGATTGATGATTCATCGAATCAACGATTGGTCCTCCAGTGTCTTCAACTGCAGCCCTGAAGGCCAGGTCTCGTTCAATTCGCTGCCCCTCGCTTCTTTGGATCGCTCCTCGTGCATGCGGCCCTAAAGCCCCTCCAGTATCATGCAGCCTACACCGTCAACTCCGCGGCAGACCGCCCCCAGTCCGAGCAAGCGCTCTGTCCACAATGGCCGACCTGCCGATGGCAATTCGGAAACACCTCGTGCCTCTGCCAACCTCGACTCTTCCCGGCCGGGCATGAAGCCGGACGATGGTACAGCGAGCAGAGCAGGAACGCCCAAGTCTACCAAGCGGCGCAAGCCCCGTCATCGGAAACGCCGTAATCGCCGACAGTCTTTTCTTGGTGCAGAAGATTCCCACCCCGGCGCAGCTGGATCGTCGGTCGCTGATCCGGAGGATCTAAGCATGATGGCAGCCCGGCAGACTAGCACGCAGGTACCCTTGCCTTTTTACAACTTGAGACGGGATCTTAGCAGCACAAGCCTAGAGAGTGAGGCCTTGCTGGACCATCGGTATGTTAACTCTGCGCAACACCCCTGCGTGTTTCGAACCCTATTTGCTATGGATCTGTGTGGCTAATGGTGAACCTCCCGGTGCAGTAACCAACCTTCTATGCGGCCACGGAGAGACAGCCGCCTCGGCCAGTCCTTTCGACCGGGGTCTTCCTCTACCCCATATCGATTTGCTACTGAAACAAGTTCCCGTGGCCTTACGTCGAGGGGAAAGTCTTATCGGGGGGAGGATGACAGCGACGGCGAGGATGTGAACGACCGAACGCCACTGATTCCGCCATCTTCGGCCCATAGTCCTACGATGCCCCGATATGGGACCGATTCCAAGTCCAGTCCGTTCTCGTTTCGTCAGCGCCGTCCATCAGGCCAGTCAGGCTCGTCTCGGTGCTCGCCCCGAGCGATTCCGAGCCCCGGCCTCGTAGAGCATGATCGCGACTACGATATCAACAACCCTCCGTCCATGCCCACCTCCCCCAAATTGGGGCCAGAGATGAACTACGACGATGCGGTGGTGACCGGGGCGGAGTTTGACTTCCTGCTGGCCAAATCCATTGATAACCGCATGGAAAACCTGGCTCGGTCGCATGATGTACTGATCGACGTGGAAGCTGGCGGTGCCAAGGGACCTCAGCCCTCCATGGGATCCTCGCCTCCTTCGCCGCACATGGCGCCTCAGGACGGCCTCCGGCGTCGAAAGACCATGCCTGCGGAAGAAGATGTTTGCTTCCCAACGGAAGCAGCTTCCGAGCTTGCTGAAGAGGACGAGTTACGGGCGCCCAGGGAAGATCATCGTCGACGACGCCGTCACCGGGAATGGCCTGAACTGTCCGTCTTAGATGAATGGAGTCGTCAGGAGAAAGAGGAGCGATCTGGGGCTTTGCGTGCTAAGACCATTAGCGAGCCGATGCTTGTGGAGGGTCGTCTTCGTCCCCAATATCGACTCTGGCGCCGAGAAGAGGATGAAGCGCCCTATCGTTTCACGTACTTTAACGAGGAGTTTCAGAGCACCATTCATGCGCAGACTATCTCCGAATTGGTACAGCCAGGTGGTAGCTTCCGCGAGTTGTTCATCCCTGATCCACCCGAGCTAGATGTCTCATCTGATGAATCGGATGATGAGGCGGAAGACCACCCCGGGGAAGAGTCTTCGGCCAACCACCATGGTAGTCGCCAAGGCAGCCAGCATGGCAATAGCCATAGTGACGCCAACCGAACAGGACGCCTCAATGGAGCTAGCCACGGCGGCGATAGTAACCAGCATAACAACAACAACAACAACAACAACAACACGCCCAAGCAACATCCACGAATGTCGGTGATTAGTGAGGCTATGTCGGAAGCTCGGACGTCAACCGACGTCTCCCCGGCACGAAAGCAGAGCCAACCCAAGCCTAAGCGCTACGGGCCCCGGCCAACCTTTTGGCTCGATGTGCTCTCGCCGACTGATACAGAGATGCGGGTGCTTGCAAAGGCATTTGGTATCCATGCCTTGACGACGGAGGATATCATGATGCAAGAGGCACGCGAGAAAGTCGAATTGTTCCGGAACTATTACTTTGTCAATTACCGCACATTCGAACAAGATCCTAACAGCGAGAACTACCTCCAGCCCGTCAACATGTATGTGGTTGTCTTCCGCGAGGGGGTCCTCTCCTTCCATTTTTCGCAGACGCCTCACCCGGCGAATGTGCGGCGGCGCATCCGGCAACTGATGGACTACCTGATTCTGAGTTCGGATTGGATCTCGTATGCGCTGATTGATGATATCACCGATGTGTTTGGCCCGTTGATCCAAGCTATCGAGGACGAGGTCGATGAAATCGACGAGAAGATCATGCAGATGCATTCCGATGAGCGCGGGATTGCCCCCGATACCAAAGACGACGAGAAGGACAGCGTTGCCACGTCGTTGGCCCCTGGGGAGATGCTCCGACGTGTGGGTGTATGTCGTAAGAAGGTCATGGGGATGTATCGGCTGCTGAGCAACAAGGCGGACGTGGTCAAGGGGTTTGCCAAGCGGTGCAACGAGCAATGGGAGGTGGCGCCCAAGTCCGAGATTGGATTGTACCTGGGCGATATCCAGGATCATATCATGACGATGACGAGCAGTCTGACCTACTACGAGACGTACGTGTCCCGACACCATCCTGATCACGGCAGTGCTGGGTCGTATTTTACTGACTTGGGGGTGGGGGGAACTGTTTAGGCTTTTGTCGCGGGCGCATTCGAACTACCTGGCGCAGATCAACATTCTCATGAATGAGCGGCAAGAACAGACAGCGGATGTTCTGGGGAAGCTGACGGTGCTGGGAACCATCGTCCTGCCGCTAAACATCATCTGTGGAATGTGGGGGATGAACGTCAAGGTACCGGGACAGGATGTCGATAGCCTGACATGGTTTTGGTCTAGTAAGTCTCTTTCCTCATGGTTGGTGGGGGTTGCATTTCCGGTGACTCAAGATACTGATGCCTCTGGCACCCAGTTACCGGGGGGTTGATTCTGTTTGCTTTTGCCTCGTTCTACATTGCCAAGCGGGTGTATGGAATTGTATAGAGTGGGGGTGGGGGGAATTTTGGTTGGCGTCCTTCTGGAAAGCTTCTTCTGGGTAGAGGCCTGGGGAGCCTCGTGACAGGTGTAAGGAGGGAGGAATCTAATCGTGTGATGTTCCTACTGTCATTCTTATTGTTGGTGATCAGTATTCATTCCTGGTTTAGGGATGATGTTACTTCTCCTTGCTTCCTTCCTGTACATCCATCAGTCAGTCAGTCAGTCAACCAGGAAGTCCTGTGCAAGAACCCAGCAGACAAGCAAGTCGTTCTAGACTGGTTCTTCTCCATGAGTTCATCAGGGTAATTGTTCCAGTTGTCTACAGAGTGAAGTAATCTGTAATCTTTTAATCTTAAATCCAAGGCACAAACCGGACTGGATGAAGTCATGATGACTGGTGGGCTCCCGAAAAAGTGGGCGATACACACGATACGGTGACAGGCGGTGGGGGGAGGGTTGCCCGTTTCCCACGACTGGTAATATTACCGGTATGGTGTCACCAGTGGTACTCTTGTTTTTCCAACTTCCCAGAAGGTAGAGAGAGAGAGAGAGAGAGAGCTCGGTCAGAGAGAGCTCGGTCACCTTTTTCTCTCTCTCTCTCTCTCTCTCTCCCCCTCTCTCTCTCTTTCTCTCCCCTTCATTTCTCGCATTCACTTCTCCAAGGTCACCATGTGAGTGGTTCTATTTCTTTTTCTCTTTCTCTTTTTCTTCTTATTCTTCTGTCTGGTCTTCTTCCTCTGCGCCCCCCTCCACCAGTGAAGGACGCTAGAGCTGCCCGTACCTTGACGTGGGCGACTGTCATTGGGTGAGTGGCTGCCAGTCCCCTGACTGGGCAAAACTTCCCCCCTCCCTCTCCCCAATCACTACACAGTAAGTCAGTCAGTCAGTCACTGCCACCAACATCATCCATCCTCTTCTTCCTCCCTCGCCCTCCTCCCTCCTCCTCCTCCTCCTCCTCCACTTCCTGCTTCTTTACAGCCTTCGCGAATCTCCTTGCCTCCTGCCATTCGCCCCCCCTCCCCCCCGCTACTGCCAATAGAATCCGCGCCCTCCCAGCCAAATTAACCAACCAACCCCTCTCCTCTCTCGATTCCTCTATCCACCACCCGCAAACCACCAAGCCAATTCCCCCTCCAGTCTACCCACATCTCCCACTGCACCTGATGTTACGCGGATGTCCTCCTACCAATTCTTGAACTAACTCATCAAACGGCTTGGAAGCTTGTTCTAGATGTTGGCCATCTTCCCACCTCACCCTTCACCATTTACCACCACCAACCCACCACCTCATCCCCTCCCTCTCCCGCTGCTTAATCAAGTTATGTGCACCACTGTCTCCGCCCTTACGGCTTTGGTCTGCCTGGATCATTATTTGGTCTTTTCCTGACTCCTTCCCCTTGGCGCAATCTGCATACAAGCAGACAAACATCCAAACATACACACATACACACCCATACATTCTTGAGTGCATCCTCACCTACTTCTTCTGCTCTTGACTCCACCTCCCCCCCCAAACAGCGGCTGCTGCCCCGGGTGACTGTTGTTTATCCTCTTCGCGCGGTCTCGATAACGGTTTCTCCCGCTCCGAGCTGCTTTGTCCGTTCTCGCAGCATGTGGCCGTCGTCCATTCGCCCTCCGACGACTCTTTCGACTGTGTAACGTGGTGTTGTTTGACAGGAAACCATTGAATTGACAAGTGCAGCCGACCTGTTAGCTTGGCCTGCGCTTTTCTTTTACTCAATCTGCACATCTCCTGACTCTCTGGGTGATCTCGTTTCTCGATCTGGCACTTTGCCGTATTTGCCTGCTCGAATCATTTTTTTTCCACGCCCTGGTCCCGTCTTTCCCGCCCGCTTGGTGCTCACCGAATTTTTCGAGAGGTCCTAGTTTAGTCCTCTTCGTGTTTGCCTTCCACCGACTCTTATCCTGGTTCCCTCTCGGACCTCCTTGATTTCTGAAAGCGTTGTTGTCAGTAGGATCCTGACGCAGCAGAAGTCATGGCGGCGGAGTCCGAGAGGTCACCTTATCCCACCGGGAACGCTGGCGGATCTAGAGTGGCCCAAACCGATGGGCTTACCTCGACTGTTGCAGCGCCGCGCAGATCTGCCAGTGAAAGTGACATGATGGAAGTGCCACGTTCAACCTTCAGATCCCAAATCCAGGGGCCTGCCGTGTCACAGCTGCCTAAGTTCTCGCATGTCGTCCCTGGCATTGCCATCCCGACGTCCACCGCTCCCTCAGTTATTTCCTCTCGTGAAACCTCCCCCGTTCGGTCCTCTCGTCGTCCACGCAACTCCCCATCGACTCCTCGCATCGCATCTCGATCACGCAAAGGCAGTGTCGACCGGAGTCCGAACCGATCTTCCTCTACCACAACTGCAGGCTCGGCCACCGTTCCCTCGGCCACGGCCATACAACGAGCTCTATCTAAAAACATCAAACCGCCCATTCTCAGCCCTCCTCCCAATGCCGATTCGTCCTCCGATGTGCCTAGCCCGGATAAGTCCACCATGCCATTATGGGCCACGTCGAGACGGTCGGAGCCGGAGACTACCCCGCCGAACACCTCGATCAAGCGCTCGAAACCCGGATCAGACGAGCCTGCAGCTAAGACCGATCGGAGCGCCCCTCGGGCTGTCAACCGGGGGAACCATACCCCAGGGTCAGCCCTCGAAACGGTGCAAGAGATGGCTAGTGATCAGTCCACCCCCTCGACTGAGACGATCCTGGGCCTGCCGTTGCGAGAAGACTCACAGCTACAAAAGATCGACGAAGACGCGACCCCCAAGGCTCTGAGGGTGCAGCATATTGAGAGTGGCAGCGATAGTGGTGGTAATAAAAGCTCCGAGCAAGTCGACGGCTATCGCCGACATGCCCCATCGGGATCTCGGGGTTCCAATAATACGATCATCCCGAAGCGATCCACTACCTCCCTGAGCGGCGGCGGGGGACCTCGCGCGAAGCCGACCGATGGTTCGGTGCGCAACATGATTGTCGAGACTGAAACCGTCAGCTCGATTCCGCAAGTTTCTCTCGGGGTCGTCCCCGGTGATCGAGGCAACACCGGTCGGGTGGATCCGGGCACTCTCCGAATGAAGCCTAGTACCGAGACCATTCGCCCGAAGAAGGAAAAGAAGCGAACGCGAAAGCCAGCCGCGCTGACGACCAGCACCGCATCATCCAAGGCAGACATCTTTGAGGCGAAAGTGGCCAGTGCTGTGGATGAGGCCGATGTGTCGGACTCGGATGAGACGTTTGTGTACGAGTCGAATCCCCCCGATCCGTATCCCATTCGACAGAACCGATACCATTCCCGCACTCCGAGCGCAACCTCCATGGCGAGTCAGGTCGACCAGCTGGCTGGCCGGAGTCGGGCCGGGATTCGAGATGGGAACCACAGCGTTACCGGCAAGCGAAGCATGAAGTTCACTAATAATACCTTCACGGGCAACTCCGATGACTTTGGCGATGACACCGCACGCAGCCATCCTCGAACTGATGGCAGCGGAACACACACTCCCCGGCATCATCATATTGGGCGATATGGACGCAACAACAACCTCTACCCGTCTTTGTTTGATAGCGATTCGCCCTTCCCTCAGTCTCAGAGCAGTGCCAAATCTCCCCGTCATTTCGTTGGCAATTCCTACCGACAATCCCGCCACCCTGCGTCACGCACCAATTTGAACTATCGCACGATTAGCGGCAGCAAGAAGCCACACGATCTCTATGGGTACGACTTCGATGCGGAGGGCGCGGACGACGAACGCACCCCTCTCGTCGGCTCGCCCCGAGTAACGCGAAGCCGTCAAAGCGGGGGGCGACGCCCGAACAGCGCCAGTCTACGCCAAATAGAGTACATGCAGCAACGCCATCGTGGAGTTCTCTCCCGGTACGGCGCATGTCTATTCGTCACCGTGCTGCTCTTGTTCGTTATTGGGGGAATCATCTCGTTTGTGGTGGCCACTACCAAGACCCTCGTTGATGTTCAAGTGCTCGACATTCAGAATGTCCTAGCGTCGGAGCAAGAGATCATGTTGGACTTGAATGTGCAAGCAATCAATCCAAATATCTTTCCCGTCTCTATAGACGAGATTGATATGAATATCTTTGCCAAGAGTCGATTTGTGGGGACGGATAAACTTTGGCGTGACCATGACTCTGACATGGGTCATGAATTTCCTCGAGTGGAGCAGAGCAGAAAACGAGCTGAGATGGCTCGACTTGCTCGCTGCGCTGGCTTGGCCGGCGGTGGAGCTAACGACAACGCGACGCTAGTAGGTGGCATGGTGCTCGCTCGCGGCGGTGTGGACAAGGGCACGGATCCCATGCCTACCGATCCCGCGGGCGATCCCCAGACTATGTTGCTCGGCCGTGTGTTCCACTTCGACTCGCCGCTGCTTTTGGAACCGTCGCCATGGCACTATGAGGCATCAACGTCGAAAGGACAGATCCGGCTCGCTCGTCCCGGCAACAAGACAGAAGAGGGCGGCACAGAACGATGGGAACGTGTGCTGCAACATCCGTTCGAGTTGATAGTCCGCGGTGTGGTCAAATATCAGCTTCCTCTGACCTCACGTTATTATTCGGCCTCGGTCAGTTCCAGTATCAAGGTGATACCTGATGACGATGACGATGATGACGGCAGCGGCGACCGTAACCACGGCCCTGATGATAACAACACCGCTACCATATCTACGAGGAACTATACCCGGCGAGATGTGCGCACTGTTCATGACGCTGAGAGCATGACACTGGACGCTGTTCGAAAGACAATTCGCATGGTGAAGCGAGCCTTTGCAGCCTAGGCCCGAAGGAAATCCGCGTTGCTTTTCGTTTTCCTGGCGTTATGTGGAGCTTACGAATCGAGCGTTCCAGCGACCCCTACTCCTCCTTTACATCCTTCTTGGTAAACCACGGCGATTGTAGCCGCATGCAACTCACGGCCGCGCAAACGTTTTTCGCTTATCTTTCTTTCGTGTTAAAATTTGCTCTTTACTTGACATTGACCCACTGATGTGTGATGACTTGGCATAAATCTCTCAATGATGACCCGATGGCGAAAACATGGAGAACGGCGGCGATGTCGTTGAAAGGAAGAGACGTTCATATGTATGCATCAGCACGGCGCTTCTATACACTTCTGTTTGGTGGGTTTCATCTACGACTTGTTTGATTAGAAGGGGGCAGAGCAAGATTCGGGGGAGGGAAAAAGCGAGCAGAGGCGGGCAGGAAAACAGATAGGAGGGGCCACACAACCAAGAATCCTGGGGTGGCGCAGGCGTCGGTCTCTGGTTCTCTGTACTTGTTCCTTGCTCGCTCTCCCATGCATGGATGACTGGGGGGCCCTTTCCCTCCCCGCAATTTTTTCAATGTCTTATCAATTCTTGTATGGTCTTTTGTACATAATATGTTTCATCCATGTTGGTGCATGAACATGTGCCGTATTGAGGATTTGTTCTCGATTGTTGCTATTGCTGTAAACATTCGCATCGAGGGATTCACAAATGGCGGTAAAACGTAGTATCTGTTCATATTATGTTCATACCTCGGCTTGGTAGCTGATCCTTCTTTCGACGTTGGTGTGTGCGATGAGGGAGGAACTTGGAAGACTTGGATGCATCTTCACATTTTATCTTGTTCTATCCACCAGCCTTACACAGTGGGCATCCCATATACGACCTCTATTCGACGGAGGACGGGAGGAACTTTGACACCCACAATATTTACTGAAGCTTCAGCGACATGGAGACATTGTGACTGACCTCCCCAAAGTTCATCACGAGTAGAGAGGGTATCGAGTGAGCGTGAAGATGGGCTATTAATGGATCTTGGAGTATTATTTCTCAAACCAGGTTCCAACCTGGTTCGCGGAGCTAACGGAGGAGAATCGGGCCCTGAATGACGGCCGTACTCACTAGGCACAGCATATGATGAAATTATCCAAAAGGCTTGAGTAAGCCGTGGGTCTCCCAATCCTCCAAGTTCTCCTCTTTCCTGAACAGTCTCTTCATAACCTTTTCTTTTTGTTTCTCGGACCGAATCGCTGCGGAAATCCTGCCATCCATTGATTCATCCGAGTCATGTCATTTGTTAGGCAGCCCCAACCCTTCCCATGGGACCGAGGCTGGATTAATCCAATTCTGCGGCTGGAGTTGCGCGAGCAGCTGCTCTGGGATAGCTTGCATGGGAGGGAAGGACACATAGTCTCCGGCAGGACTGATCAGGCCAGCGGCATGAGCATCCATCCCTACCAGCGAGGCCAGGACTTGTTGGCCGTGGGTGCAGGTCGTCTCACTTAAAACGGAGAAGACATCGGGTTAGCCTGAAAGAACGTCGGACAAGTTTCAAGGACGATTGCTGTAGAGAAGGATTTGCCTACATTATCTGACGCAGGACTGGCACAGCCTTGCTGCAGAAATTGCTGCGGTTGGACAGAGCGGCAAAGGTCTCCAGGGCATCCCAGAGTAGGCCCTTAGATTCGTCGAACTCGAACTGTGTTTCTGGGGACATCAGGGTCGCGGACAAAACCACGGCGGCGTGGAAGGCGTGGAAACTGCCGAGATAACTATTGTACCATTTGTAGGAGGCGTAGGGAGGCGACTCGTGGAGGGTTTGGTAGATGGCCAAAGATGCCCGGGCGGAGGAGACGCATTTGGTCCGCGCTGCGTACGTTTCGGGCGTAAAGTCCGCTTGCAAGTAGGCACAAAGAGCTGGACGATGGAGAAGAAGAAGTAGCTGATGGATATAGCTGTAGAGGATGTTCAGGTTGGCCTGGTGAGGCAATAGGATGGGCTCAAGGGTGGAAGTAGGCTTGTACCGCTGGTCGCACATTTCACGGACGGCCAGAATCTGAGCTTCCAATTGGTACGGATCAGACCTCGGCGACGCGCTAAACAGAGTTTCGCATATCATCAGCAAAACTCTGTTAAGATGTGACTCCAACAGTAGGTATGTCATGTGCGTTGGATGTGTTGGTTGTCCCGGGAAAGAACCCGTCAGCAAATCAACATCGTTGATATCCAAGGCCAGCTTGACATCATTGGGCGCGATGCCGTCGTGCAAACAGCCAAAAAGTGTACTCTGAATGGTGAATAGAGAAGTGAGCCCCATCCAGGCACGTCTGCGCTCCTCTTGTTCGATGAGACCGAGATCGAATCGGCTGGGATCGACGTGACAACCCATGGAGATGGCTACATGATGTGTGAATCCGAGCAGGGTCCAGATGGGAAGACCACGTTGAGCTCGAGCATAATTTACGAGGATCAGTGATTGAAGGGAGTTGATTGAGTGTCGAGATAGGACATTATCTGCGGCCAGGCATCGCAGTGAGGCCGACCGATAGCGTGCAGATAATGCTTTGATGTTTCGACTAGCCGTCTTCTCTCGCCCAATATCCGAAAGTAGAAGCTCATCGTCTTTCAACGCAGTGACTGCAATCGAGAGGATCGCGAACAGAAGTGCGATCCATGCAGTGGTCACACTGTTTGCATCGTGGCAGAATTGTTGATATTCAGTCTCGAATGTAAGGTCGTGCAGAATGTGGAACAGCTGGATACCAGATCAGTAATATTCTCTCTCACAGTAGTCCTTCGCGCCAAAGCGCCACAATCTTGACAGGAAAGATCCAACCCAACTTACAGGCGAGAAGACTCTTAAATAAATATCCTTGAGCGCATCGCAATATCGGCGCGGGGGGAGAATCGCTAACAGCTCATCTCGAGAAACATGATTTTTGGCAAAGGGGAGTTGCAGGTCATCGCTCTCGTCCGGAAGTTCGCTCTCGACATTAACTGCCGACTGACCCCTGGAGATGGGGAGACAGGCCACCCACGGCAGATAACGAACGTATCCGGCACTGAACGTCTGGAGAGTGCCGGCGCTTCTGGGCAGTCGGGGTTTGATCTCTCGGGATCTTACATCGAACGCAGGCTCCAACTCGGCTCCACTTTCGGTGCCGCTAGGCGATCTCTGGGGTGACATATGAGTAACGTCGCTTGGCTGAATTCGAACCTGTTCCTGGAGCAGATCTTCGAGGTTACCAATCTGGGAAAGCAACTCATTCTGTTCAGGTGGAGCAGCCACCAAAGCTTGCTGGGAAGAGAGTCGTGGCTGGCCCAGGTAGATACAGTCTTCTGCCCCCAAGCCACGGCGAACACAGGTCTGACATGGACGCCCGTCGCGAGAGCAGCGGATTTTCCTGGTTCGGCATGCCTGACAGCTTATAGGCAACCTCTTTCCGGCCGAGCGGCCGAACGTGGTCATGATGGGGTGGAGCAGAAAAATCAAGATGAAAGAGCTAGAAAGAAGCTAGCGTTCAGGGAATTGTGTCACACTTTCGCACGAATAACCACAGGACAGGATATGTTGAACCAAAACAGCAGGTCGACCTCATAAGTACCCGCCGGTTTACCATCTGAGTTTAAAGGTGCAGGAGGATGAGGTACGCTAGATGAGTTCCTAAGGGTGCATCGCGTGCTCTTTATATCAAGGTAGATCTGCCTGCTAGCCCAGGAGCAAGGAGTCTTGCACTGGACTATCGCCCACAGTGTCCCATTTCGGCATCGCCGGTCTAGTCGAAATTCTGTGCCAATACTTTATGACACTTGATGCGCTGGCGTAGTGCTAGTTCGATTGAGCTAAGGAGGAGAAGCAGCTTCACGGAGAATTCCGTCTTAGTGCGACAACGTTATTATCACCCTGGAATGTCGCGTCCGATTTGGTGGAATTGCAGCATGCATGGAAAACTTTTCTGCTGAGTCCGTATCCATCGCCTATAGTGTCGGTACTAAGAAAGCCCTGGACAAAGACCTCATAGCAGCTAGCGCATGGAAAAATTCTAGAAGGATACAGTGTTGACCAATAATCTGTGCTTCAGTCTGGTAGGTGAAGGGAAAGACCTAACGACCTAAAACCTATGGGGGATGGGCGCTGAATGACAATGACGTCTGCCAGCATCGATAGTGCATCAAGTCGGGTGGACGGCATTGTGGGGCTTGACCCTTGAACTATCGCAGTCATACAGTACTGTCCGACGGATTGTGGCTAGGTGCATACAGACCGAATCCATTTTCTGCAACACCGCCACAGAGAACCATGGTTTATAATCCTCTAGTCGAGTCTGTCTGGCAGGAAAGAGGCCTGCAAGAATACCTCTTCTTGTCTATCATGTTCATGTTGATGTTGCTGCTTGCTTGGTATTCTGAAAGCCCCTTGTTGCCTCGACAAGTGAACCCGGCCAGACTGAGTAGATGAATCACGATATGAAGCCCTGTGTTTCCGATCACGGCGAAAGCCTCCCGAGTTTTCCAGGGGTAGTCGCGCCTCAGGTCACAAAATCGCTTGGGTGGTTGAGCCACAGAATAGATTGACGCGAGGGGCCAAAGCGGCAGCAAGAGCCACCCATTTGATTGCCAGCACAGACGAGCCCCGTAGGGCACGTATGCTAAGTCCACGGCTCAAAAGCACTATGCAGGGATTATCGTGCAGACCCTCCTTTGACGGAAAATCCATAACAACTGACATCCACATGTGAAGCGGGGGCTCTGATCACCGTCTTGAAGCAGTTATTGCACCACTCTCGTAGCGGAGGCTGCAGATGGCAAGAAGCGGTTAGTTACACCCCGTCAGACGAAGGCTAAGGTCACTGAGTCTAATCCTTGCGGGAGAATTTTCCAGCACTTGGTAGTTGACGCCCGGCTAAGGCGGATGAGACTAACGCACTAGCAAGATGATTGAAAATTTTCAGTGGATCCCTGCGCAGGCTGAGGGGGCCCTTGACCCCTGGGAGTTGAGATATTCAGAGGTTTTGTTGCATAAGGTACCTGAAGACCGATGATATGACGGATGTCATTCCATGGTCGAGAAAGATCTGGTTAGATCTGGGTCCATTAACCGTACTTTTGAGTTCCAAGGGAATGATCATCACAGAGACTGTTGTTGGATGATAAAGAAGAAGAAGATGATGATGATGATGAAAATGAAGGGCAGTGAGAGTCAGCTGCGGATTCTTCACGTGGTTGGTTGCAATCACCTGCCTGCCTGTTTGGGTGGTTTGGGTGGTTTGCCTGTCGTCACAGTCACAGCCTCAGGTTTCCTTCCCTCTTCTTATGTCTTCTCATTTACTCCACCATCATCATCATCATCATCATATCTTTCATGCTTCCATATTGCTGCACGCTTGTTTCATGCTACATTGTGTTACCCACTGGATAGATGATCAGAGAGGGTGAACAACGTACAGCCAACCACAGCTGCCGCCCAGAATACTTAATCTTTGGCTAGCAACTATTTCGTATTGGCCTTACCCCTCCTCTGCTGGTGCCCGTTCTCTCCCCTCAAGCAATCTTCTTCTACCATCTTTGTGCCCCCCTCCTCCATCTCTCTGACGACGGTGTACGTCTGCCTGGTTTTTGCCTCGAATCAGATTGATTCCTTCTACAGCCTTCCGCCCACGCCCGTCGAATACTGTTGACGCTCGTCAGCCTCGCTTACCCCACTTCGCTGCAGTCCCTCCTCCTCCATCTTCTTCTCAAAACTCCATCTCATCTCTCTTTAGCCTTTCTCTCCAGAAAGCACCCCTCTCTTCATTAACCCTTTAGACACACAGACGCATATACACCTACATCTATCTCGGTTTGCCATCTTCATGTCATACGTCTATAGAGAGCGAGATCGCGAGCGGGACTGGGAAGAATCCCGCTCAGCCGTATCGATCAAGCGTTACGTCATCCCCTCTGAAGAGGAACGTGAGCGCGATTTCTTCTACCGCCATGAGGATCCTTCCGACCGAGAGCTGGTTGTTAGACGCACTCTTGAGCGAGAGGAGCCGGTGATGGTTCAGCGATATGAACGAGAAGTTGACTTTGACTCGCGCCCACTTGATTACCGCTCCGAAAGAGACTACTACGAACGTGAGTATTACGTGCCCGAGCGCTTCCGCAGTCACCCCGCCCCCGTTATCATTCGTGAAACTCAGCCAGTAATCCTTCTTGAAGCACGCGGTCCGGTCTATATCAATCCACGAGAGTCCGACTATGAGATTGTGCGCCGGCCGGAAGTGGATCGTGAGCCTGGCGGCTATTACTATCACCGTCGGGTGCGCGAGTGGGATGAAGACCGTCGTTCCCGTCGTGAACTCAGTCCCAGCGACTCTGTCTCACAGGCGACTCGTCGTCGTGATGATGAAGGATATAGCAGCGATGAGAGCATGGTCTACATCCGCAAAGAGACTCGGGAGTACGATGACCATCCTCATCGGCGGCGACACTTGGCCGAGGGCGCGCTGGTCGGCGTTGGAGCGGCCGAGCTTCTTCGCAACCACCACAAGAAAGAAGGAGGAGAAGTACCCGAAGGAGTCGGCCGTCTCGGGCGGGATGTGGGTGCCGGTGCATTAGGTGCCATCGCTGCTGAAGCAGTCTCACGTGCAAGAGAGCACTATCGCAGTAAAAGTCGACATCGCTCCCACTCTTTTGATGACGACCACAGATCGCATTCGCGCCATCACCGCCACCATCGCCATAGCCACAGTCGTCGCAGTCGCTCTCGCTCTCATTCTCACTCACGTGTGCGGACGCTCGCTGAACTCGGCTTGGGTGCAGCTGCTATTGCTGGAGCCGTTGCCCTGGCTCGAAACAAGTCCAACTCTAACAAGGATAGACGTAGCCGGTCTCGTCATCGTCGGGCGGCCAGCTCTACTCGGTCTTTACCACTCACCAAGGATGGGGAGCGCAGCAAATCTCAAAGCAGGAAGCATATGGCAGAAGCGGGTCTAGCTGGAGCAGCAGTGGCGGGTCTTATCGAGAGGGCCCGGAGTCAATCGCGTTCCGGAAGACGGGATCGGTCCCGCTCCAAAAGTGCAATCAGAAAAGCCCTGCCTGTGCTAGCCGCTGGCCTAGGGACAGCTGCTGTTACCGGCTTGTATGAGAAAAACAAGGACAAGAAAGAAAGCTCACGCCAGAGAGAACGTCGACGCTCAAGATCTCGCAGCCGTGCGCCGTCTGAAGTCTACTCGGACCCAACGAAATCTTCGCCTGGTCTAATTGAATATGGGGAGCATCCAGTCCATGGTAGTATTCCTGCCAACTATTACGGTCGGCCTGGGAGCTCACACGGATATTACTCGGATGCGTCTGACCCTGTCGCAAGTGGCGCAGCAGGGTTTGGGTCCACCAGACGCCGAGCCTATAGCCGCAGTCGTAGCCGGAGCCGAGGCCGGCCTGCTCGTTATAGTAGTGATTCGTCAGACTCCGAAAGTGGCAGCCGGAGAAGACGGCGAGGCGGGCACGAACGGCATCGCAGTCGCTCGCGCGAATTCGCCGAGGCTGCTTTAGGGGCCGCAGGACTTGGTTACGCAGCTCACAAGTTGTCTCAACGGAATGAGCGCAAGAAAGCGGAGCGCGACAGAGAAAGATCGGGTGAGTAGATTCGGGCTTGCTTAATGTTTCCAGGTGCTGACCAGTTATGAGCCAGATGAAGAAGGTCCGTACCAGCATGATCCAGATCCGCCATCTCCGGCTGCTCCTCGACCGATCGACGACCATCAGTACTATCCTAATACCAATTACTTTCCCCCGCCCCCTGGCTCTGCACCTCGAACCGAACCAGCACCTTACAACCCTGCCGACTATCCACCTCCACCCGGCGCTGTGCCACCGCAGCCGTATGCTCACCCTGCGCATCCTCAACCAGAACCCTATGCACCTCGGCCCCGGAGGGTAGAAGAGAATGTGAGTGCTGCATGGATATCTCCCCAACACCCCGTTGCCCAAGATCGCATATATGATGGTGGGTTCAGGGAAGGCCGCCTTGCAGACCAAGGGGCCCTTGCTGATGTTGCATGTAGGCCTAGATGCACGGTCACCGCTGAGAACCCCCCGCGCAAGGAAACGACGACCCCGCGCTGCCAGCCAGCCGGCACGGCCGAAGTCGGTTGCCTTTGACCTTGGTTCGGAGCATGAAGGACAGCATGATCTAGGATACGAAACGGATGACAGTGACTCGACCATTGCGTCAATACATGGACATAGCCACTATCGCACCCCACGTCGTCGCCACTCGTCCTCTGAGCCGTTTGCTGCACGTCCTCGGTCTGACGATCGGTCTCGCAAAGATGGCGCGGAATCTGATTCCGACTCAACTATTGATTTACCTGACCGGTTTGACTCGCAGGGACGCCTCTTGCCCCAGCCTGGAGATGATCCTTTGGCGGACGGATTAGAGCATCTCCTGAGGGGCATCAATCACGTCTTTGTTTAACTGACTTTTTGCGCTTCTATCTTTGCACCATACCTTTCTTTGTTGCGACTTGTGTTTTGCTTTCCCCTGATGTAGTAACGACGTGATGATCATGACAATATCGGTAGTTAATAAATGAATGATAACGAAGTCCGACGCCCACCGAAAGGATTGCAGTACTTATGCAGGAACTCGGTCACTGTCACCTGACGATCTGTGCCGATCCGACCATTTGCCTGAAGTAGTGGCATGCATGAACCATACCGAGTAATGTACGGCGTAGTTGTCGACCTCCATGACGCCTGCTGTAACTAAGGACTGGAGGGAAAAGGCATCAAACATTCTTGTCTGTAACTATGATTTCTGCGCTCCAGACGACCTCTGTCACAAACGGTGTCCTTTGAAGAAGAACACATTCCTATCCATCTTCAAACTCGATGCAAGCAACTTATTGACGAGAACTTTCCAGTAGAAATGGTAAGTTAGCCCTTAGGAGGATCCACAAGATCGTCAGGAGTAGACTTACACCCAACATCACTAGATGCGATCGGTAGACATAGGCAGTACGGTAATTCACACATCACATACGCTGGATCAGGCAGGTATGTGATGGTATTTAATGTCTCCCTCTTTTGGACTCTTTCTACTTTGGGGGATCGCCTTTCTTTCTTTCTTTTACTTTGAGGGGGGTATTCACATAGCGAAATCGGACTGGTGGTCCTCGGAGCCGAGATCGAGAATAGCTCGGGTGTAGGATTGTATGCACTCTGTATCTCTCTTTCTGACGTTCAGGGGAGGACTTTCTTTATCCTTTGCTTCGGTTTTCTCCTGCCATTCATGATTGTGAAAGTGCAAGGAGAGGAAGCGTGGATGGTTTCCGGCCTAAGTTGAAGCTGAATAGAATGACCAAGATTTGACTGGATTCTGAAATGTGCATTCTGCTGTACTTTGATAATTGTCGAAGAGGTCTTTCTCTCTTTTTGAGTCAGTATGTGTAAGTGTGTCTCTAATGTCATCGCCACCAGGTACAGGACAGAAAATTCAGCCGTCCAAAACAGCTGCCAATAATTATCTAGGTAGCCTTACAATCCCTGAGAAAAGTATCCAAGGGTCAAAGCTGTAGGCATAGCAGGTACAACTTCATCAAGACAAAGGGCATTAGTTATCCAATGATTCCAACACGCAGACTTTCATCACTCCACTCAACTGTTCTCCCTACCTACCTACCTACTCCCCGTAAACAACCTCCACCCGCTGGGAATGGGGCTTCGCATCCGGATCCTCCTCTTCACCCTGCTCGCCAGCCGCGACCAGCTTGTCGCCGAAAGATGCGGCAATTTCCTCCAAGGTCTTTTGTTTGGTTTCCCTATCGTCGGTCCTGGAGGTTAGTTTCACTCTCCCATCAAGCACCTGCACAGAAAGAGATACGATCGTCGGAGCTAGCTACTCACGGGAAGTATAGATAGGCAATGACCAAGAAGAAAAAAGTGCAGGCCACGAAGACGTAATAGTAGTTTTCGTGGATGTTCGCAAAGGCGCTGGGGCCTGCTTCGGTGACTGTATCATAGACCAGGGATGTGAGCATGTCAGGGTGAAGCAGGCAATAAAGGGAGACGGCTTCAGGCGGCCTGTTAGAGGTGATTCCGAGTTTTGAAACCTACTTGCGACATTGACGATGAAGTGAGAGGCTGCCGCCAGTCCCATGACTTTGCTGCGAAGGGCGATGGGCAGAACCTCGGCGCCGTAGAGCCAAGTTGTGCTGTTGAGCATACCATCTGCACGGTGCCCGTGTCGATGATTAGTGAAGGAACGATATGCTGGGCCCTGCGGTATGCTTACAATAGATCACTACAAACAAATAGATCCCGAGGATGGCGAAGCCCTTCCCGACTCTGTTGTTCGTGTTCTGGAATTCTCGCTGCATGATAGCGGCATATATCTCGACAATGATGATCCCGGCGAGGCCGGCTAGGATCATTCTTTGTTGTTATGTCAGCTCTGTTGGATTGGGAGATTCGTGGGTGCCAGGGGGGGAACATACTTGCGACGACCCCATTGATCTGTAAGGTATTTGGTGGTGAGGGAATTGGTGAGGAAGGCGACAGTGCCGTAGACAGCAGCCAGGGCGAGGATGGTGTGGGAGTCGATGCCAAGGGACTTGTATAGAGTTGCTGGGTCAGAGCCGTCAGTATGCGTCTTCGGAATAGAAGTATGATATGAGCGGGCAACAACACGCACTTTGGTAGTACTAGCGCTGTGTTAATTCAAGCTTCCATCGGGTTATCGAGGAGCCATACCTGTATAACATTCACCCCAGTAAGACTTGTCATGGTCTGCACGGCAATTGAGCTATTCGACCCGGTCAGTTAAGTTCGCTTCCTCGGAACCTCTGCACGGAAACGTACACTAACGCTCGTCGTCGAAACAAACGAAAAATCTCCTTGTAGGAGGTTATCTCTCTCTCCTTTTCATATTGGATCTGAGCGACCATCTCTGCGAATTCGTGGCGGGCCTCGTCCGAACGTAAGTCCCGTCGGCCTCTGATGAATTCGCTGCGGGCCTTCTCGATCTGACCCACTCGGATTAAATGGCGTGGTGAGTCTGGCATGAAGGTGACCAGTCCGGCGAACATGACAATCCCCCATGGGACCTGGATTGCTAGAGGAACTCTCCACTGGACCTGACCGTAAGGAGCAAAGCTACAGGCGTATCCGACCCAGTTCGACGCCATGGTTCCGAATGCGATGCCGCAGCCTGAGATGCCACCGATGAGACCGCGGTACCGAGGGGCTGATATCTCGCTGAGGTAGATTGGGACAGTCGCGACCATTCCGCTAACGATGGATGCCAGAGTTAGTTTCCACTCCTGTCTGTAGCTCCACGAGCACGGTGTGCAAGTTACCCAACGGCGTAGCCAGCCAGCAGACGACCAGCAAGAAACATTCCGATATTCACTGCCGCGGTCTGGATGACCGTGCCGATAGTGACCACGATGCACGACACTTCCATGAACCGAAGACGCCCTAATTTGTCTCCAATCGCAGTTTGAGTAAGAGCACCTACTGCTTCACCGGCGATATATACCGACACCACCTGCGCAGGATTAGATAGAGGAGCCCAAAGTTGATCCTTCCGACTTACGGCTCCTGTCAAGCCATTTGACGGGTGATTCATGTAGTCAATCCAGCTTTGATGGGCGATTGCTAGAGGACAAAGCGTTAGCTAATGCGGAGAAGGTTGTATGACTGAAGTTTTCTCACTTGTCGTGGCAATGCCTGTGTCGAATCCCTAGGAGAGTGTTCGTGTTAGCGACAATATCGCCTGACAAAAATGAGCCTGACCTTACAAACAAGAAAGTTCCAATGGCAGCGAACATAGCCACGCCAAAAGCATACCAGACAGCCATTTTGGATGGATAGGAGAGAAAAAAGCTAACAAAGGATGAGTGTCGCGCATGCTCAACCCTTCACCGTAGCAAACACCCCGTGTGCAGCTATATAAATGCACGGCGAGAAGCCGAGGATGTAGTTGTAGGACGTCAACACTGACTCGGAGGATGGCCGAGCAACAAGGACCAATCCGGGGTATGATGAAGCTGAAAAGCGGGCCAAAGGTTGGGGACCCCGTATTCTGTAGATCGGATTGCAGTCATGCCATGCACAAACCTTGCCGCAGGTTTCCCCGCAGGAAGTGGTGGTTCGGTGGGTTTTGGTCCGAGGAGTAGTGTTACCGTCAGTTTGGCTTCGTTCCATTAGTTGGACTTGTGGAGGATGGAGTCGGCATGACAGGAATCGTGACGACTTGAAGGAGTCACTGAGAAGAGGTACTGCATGCCGTCATACAGGTATATACTTACTAGTACTAGTATATACGGAGCAGAATGCGGGGGATATAGTACTAATCCCGCCTCGTGACGCGGGGGTCACTGAACGAGTTGAGACCGGTTTCATCTACCATTGGCAGATATATGAGAATCCAACAGGCGTTGCTAAAAAGAGACTCTGCTTATTCGAAAAGTCAACAAACATTTCATCACTGACTGTATACAGGGAGACAGTCTCTTGACTTACTAACAGCTCCCCTCCTCAGATCCCCCCGCTAAACCCATCCCAGCCACTACCGCATCTAGTTTAGCGCACAGAATAGGCGAGGCTAGCAGCACTAGCGTCATTTAGCCTTCAGACCCAACCTATATAAGGCGCCTCCCCCCAGCGCCCTTTTAGAATTTTTTTCTCTTTTCTTTTCCAGCTCTCTTTGCCTTTTGGCTTAGATCAAGTGTAGTATCTGTTCTTTTCAGTTTAATCTCTGAAAGTGTTCTAAGGAACACAACATTGATTA